TATGTTACAAGTACAGTCAGTCCTGGTATTGTAAATAGGCCCTTTGCAGCTGGGGCCAAGTGATTAATTTTTTTAAAAATATGTATATATTATGGACTATAACTTGAAAAATGCCAGAGATGGAAAGAGCATATCGAAAATACCAAAATGGCCAAGTTTGGGCCCCTGGAATAACAGTACTTTTTCTACAGCGGTTTGAAATTTCGGAGAATTTAGAGGATTTGTATGGAAAATGTTGCTGGAGAGCAAGACCAGCAACATTTTCCCTAGAAAACTTCTTATTTTTTTAAAAATTTAGACTGTCATAAAATCTCATTCTTGAATGATGGAGGTGTCAAACCTGGCCATTTTATTATTTTCAACATGGTTTTTCTTTTTCTTAATTCGGCTAAGTTATAGCCCATAGATTTATGAAAACGGGGATGAGCCCTGTACCAGCGTACGGGGCCCTAAGAAATCCATGACAACATGCACCCTCCATATGTTTTGGATTTTATGGCTCGAGTGCATAATAGTGAATGGGATGACAATCGTAGAGTTCTTGGTGGATGATAATTGTTGCAGCAAATTGTGTGCAATGTCTTTATTTTACCACGGTGATCTGGACTGAGAGGTCCCGGATGACCACGCTAGTTTAGGACTGTGTGACGTTTTTCTTCACAAAAGGTTTTGAGTAGATGTTTAAGTTAAGCTTCCTTAAGGTTTATAATATCAAGGAGTCTACTTTTACAGTTTAATAAGGACTTCCAAGGGTGTTGTAAGGCATTTAGGACACAGATGTGTCTTTCTATTTATTTCAGTGATTTGTTTCTTGTTTATCGTATATTTGTATTCGCTTTGTAATGTTATGTTCTGTTGTTTTCTTGTAGTTTTCGTTACTGCTCTGTTCATCGTTTCCAGATCAACTATCTACAAACTTTCTGCAATTCCTTTTCAATAAATCAAGTTATTTTTTTGTACGTCATATGGATAATCAAAAGGTGTTAGTGTAGTAGCTCCACTGCTACAATAATCCTTGATCAGAGGTTCGAAATATCCAGCAGATTGTCCATTTAAGATCATATATGTGATAAGAAGAATCTTGAAATGAATCCGTGCTTCCACAGGTAGCCAGTGNAGTACTCTGAGTATGTGTAGGCGTTTAGAAGCCTTGGTGACAGTAGCTTCAATGTGATTGTTCCATTTTAAGTTATTCTGAATCACCAGGCCAAGTACTTTGTGTGAAGTTACAAGCTCTAATTGTTGGTCGCCGATCTTCAAATGAGGGAGTTCTGTGGGTTCCTTGAGAAAGCATATCCGCATTTCTTTACACTTTTTAGCGTTGAGTTTCATCCAGTTACGGGAGCTCTAAGAGGCGACAGTAGCGAGACTTGTTTGGATGGTTGAGGTGCTGTTCCTTACGAGCCCCTCACACAACGATACATCATCAACAAACTTCCAAGTGCAGGATTCAGGATCAGAGATGTTCAAGTTATTTATCATCACCAGGAACAATATTGGACCGAGGTTTGTTCCCTGGGGGAGGCCAGCTGTAGTTGGAAGCCAGTCAGAGATGGAGCCAGGTAACTTAACGCGTTGTCAACGGTTAGTCAGGAAGCTTATTATCCACGGTATTAAAAATATGCGAACTCCTAAGCTCAGAAGCTTCTCTATCAGTATGTTGTACCCGATATGATCGAAAGCCTTAGAGAAATCTAGAAAGCAAAGGCGGAGGTGTCGCCCGGGTGAGTCAAGGTACGTAAGCCAGGTGTGAAGCCAGTACGTAAGCCAGGTATTATTCAACCTAAGTTTTAGCAAATCTTAACATTAATAGGCATTTTTTCATAAAGTAGCAGTCAATTATGTGAACTGCAGATTGTTAATCATAGATTTTGCTTTCTAACCTCAAAGGCCTCTTAGATTCCATAATCAAGAGAGTTTTATTATGATGCAAAATGTCTTATGTCCACAGATGTGCCAAAATCATAAAACATAAACAAAATCCTAACCATGGGAACACTCACAGTCTTAAAATAACAGAGGAGAATTTGCTACCTTTCTATAATATCAAGAAATGGATAGATATTCTAGTCTTCTTGGATAAGGATGAACAAACCGTAGGCCCCGTCTCCTGCAGGGTTAGGGGTAGGAGACGTTAATTTCCCATGCAGAAGATTACCAGTGTAACGCTTCGGAATATGTGCACCATTTGTAGCCGAGAATTCCAACTCACCATAGTCGCTTTCTTCTCTTCTACAAATTTTTCTTCATTATGAGACGCACTTGACTTTATTAATAATGAAATAGATTGTTATTGAGCACATTTCTGACCCCAATACACTTTACATTATGAAAGCCTATTACATGACAAAATTTGCATATTGTTATGACAACCGAGTTCATCCGCCATATTGGTGTTCCATAACAAAGTGCGTGTTACTCGTACTAGCCAGCAGCTGGGACATTCTGTACTACATTCTAGCATTCTTAGCGAAGAAATTTAATTTTTGTCATCATGGTCCTTTGCCTCATTGTAGGATGTGGCAATAAAACGGGCAAGATATGGCCCACCACTGAAAAAAAAAGTTCTTTTCGTGTTCCGCGTGTTGTTGTCAACCAAGGAGCTTACAAGGAAGAGTTGACTGTGGAGCGAAGAAGGTGGATTTCTGCCATCAGCTGAGAGGATGTTACTGACTCTATTTAAGAAAATGACTGGGCTTGTTGCAAGCATTTCATGTTAGGAGAACCTGCCAAAGATTGGGACTGTGTAGTAAGCTTTTTGTGATGTTGAGATTGTAATGTATATAGCATGGGCCACCTAG